GGCTTGGTGTGTCAGAGCCATTAGACAGTGTACCTACAAGATGTTTACACTGTATGTCTCCGCTCAGACGTTTGTGCTTCATCGGATGGTGAAGGGGGCGAACGCCACCATCCTGTTGACCTGCACCATCAGCATGGCTCTCTCCGCTCTCATCGCCTATGTGGGATGCCGGAGTCTTCCAGGCTGCCGCTGCTATGATGCCAGAACCGGACTGGTAGGAAGAACATCCCTTTAAACTGAGTGACTGTTGCTTTGCAAGATTTCTGATCTCACAATACTTACGCTGTTTCCATTGACCATGGTGGCACATTTATCTCCAAACATCCTTGGTTTCAGACAGAGATAGACCAGAGCAGCTTCTCAGTTCTAGCCTGAAATTGTCCATTATATCGTCTAAAATGTAAACAGTTGCTGGCAGCTTGTTTCAGCTGTAGCTAGTTAGCTAATAAAGCTAAAATGAACCCCCTGAATTGGTTGAACAAGCTAAAAACTAGTCACTGTTTTGCGTATATATTTCTGAAAAAAACTTACAGTTCTGCCTAGACAAATACTGTATGCCTGCCTGCACCAATTTATATTGCTGTCAGATAAGGAATCCCATTTGGATGCCTTTTTAACGTATCACTTTCACTTTCCATTCTCAGAAAAAAGCCTTTTCCCCCCCTGCAATTAAAAGTCTGTCTGTCTGTCTTTCAGGAGACACTGGTTCCTCAGTGTGACCCTGGGGACACAGAGATGGCTTGTAGATGGCAAGGTAAGAACTATTAATTAAAGTTGTTTTTAAAAGGGCCCTGTTCCGCTAATTCCAGGTTCATATCAGTGTGTATTGTCTCTACTTTAAAGAGTCCTCTCCTGCTGATGTTCTGGTATATATCAGTGTGTAGTGTCTCTACTGGGACATGTCTCCATGCTTTAATGTTCAAAAAGCTATTTATTGTTCTCATACTGCCTGTGCTGCAGCACCTCTTTTCACCCTCTGTCTGAAACCAGAGCCCAGTCTGCTCTGATTGGTTAGCTGGCCGGCTCTGTTGTGATTGGTCAACTGCTTAGAGATGTCCTGCCCATAAGCCAATCACGTACAATGTATTGGAGTGCTGGCCAGTGATGTCATTATGTTACTGAAGTAAACAAAAGATTCCAATGGAGGCATGCAACAAAAAAAAGGGAACCCCCAAAAAGCAGAATAGGGCCTCTTTAAAGGAACCCTCTGCTCTCAGCAGTGAGTGATGGTGTTCTTCTATCCAGCAGGGGCAGACGACAGGCTGTTCAACTCTCCTGCTCCGCTCCCTGATCGGGGCCCAGCAGAGGATGAGGAGGGGCCCTCCAAAGTGCCTCCTTACAGCAGACTGACCTGACACCCCCACACTACATAGCCTGGTCCTGTGTGTCTCCATCTCAGAGAGGAGGGGCTGGTTATGGTATATATGTTTTTAAAATTGAGCTTCACAATTATTATTTGTGGATTATGGGAATTTAAAGACTCAACTGAGGATGTCATATTGGAATGTTGTAAACCCCTGATTAGACTACAGTCTTTATTTCCTTTTTCACTAAACATGTCTGGAGCCAAACTCATTTAATCTTGCCAAATTGAATATCTGTATATATAAAATTTCCAGCCTGAAACGCCTAATTCCCTGTGTGCTGTCTGAAAGTGAGATATCTTCTCAATGTATCAATTATTTTGTATGTGTATTTAATAAATAAAACCCTAATGAACACATGACCACATTTTGAAATGTCCAGGGTAGTTTATTGCAGGGTTACACACGTTAACACCATTGCAACTACCTGTCCTGGGTAGATTAATTCATTACTCACAGTATGCACATAGCATTCTCTCATTGATATTCTTCTTCCAGGACATTTGCAATGAGAAATACAGTATTTGTTGTTGATGGCTGCAGTGAAGAGAAGGCAAATGAAATGATAGCATTCATAAAACCAAGGTCACTTGAAGAACAGAAGCAGCACCCGAAGCTAAGAAAAAGACCCACGTGATGTCCTCCACCGCAGAGAGGGTCGTTGAGAGTCCTGAGAGGTCATGTGACTGCATGATCAGAAGAGGGGCCACAGGACCAGCTGGGGCCACAACATACATCCAAACAATCATGACATGGAGCCCAACTTGTGGTGCATCTTGGCTTGTGAAGGATTCAATGGTGCGTTTACCATACAAAGCTGAATATTATATCACAAGCTAACATACGGAAGCCATAGTGGGTGTAGGCTTCTTTTACACTGTAAGAGGTATGTGTTTGATTCAATAGCTAGCCTACACGGTACTTTAGTCTTGTTTGATAATCTAGCTAAACAGTGGTGCAGTGATGATGTATTTTTATAGGCCCACCTGGAAGTAAGCAAGGGCTCCTTCGCAAAAAGCAATGGGATTATTCGATTGGATTTTTGAATATTTTAGAAAATCTGATATTTGGCAAACACACTTTTACAACACATTTTGTTCAGCAGGATTATCTCATTTTTAAGCGTATTTGAAATAGCTAGAAGTAAAAAGCTAATGCTATGCCTAAAAAACGACATTGTGTCATATGAATGCGCATCACCAGCGCTAAGCTAAATGTGGATAATATTTGTGGAGCCTCGCAGATGGGGCTTCTGCAGCCCCCCCCTCACAGCAAACAGGACACCACACCAGCCAGCAAGTTACGTCATTCACACCAACGCAACTCCGGTTCAAGCTCCGTTCTAGGGCTTTTCAGGTTCAGAACCGGTTCTTCGGTTTAGCTCCGGCTCTTTTCACACTGCCCAGAGTCCGACTGGTGCTGCGTCATCGTTTGCATCATGACATAACCGTTTGCGTGCCTGCTTCATAAAGCCAAACCGCGCGGAAACCCCTCACAGCTCACACCGACAACAACGACAATGGCCGATTGTGTTGAAGCGCTACTCGTTTTGTTTTTGCTCTGTCGAAACGAAATGGAAGAAATGGGACGACTTTACTGTCGTTACATGCTACATTCAAAACTGCTTTACAATCGTAATCATCAACTTCAACGACGATTCCGATTCCCCCACGTGCTTGTTAAGTTTCTCCATCGTTGTGATAAAACGCAGGCTATTTGTTGTTGTTCAGGAGTTGATCCCGCCCCTGTCCCGCCTCGACGTAAGCGTGATGTATGCGGTGCTTTTGCTCTAGCCGGACAATTTTTTGGTGCTTCAAACGAACCGGATTCCGGAGCTAAGAGGCTGCTCCGCTGCGGTGCGAACAGGAAAACCCGGTGCTTTTCAAGCTCCAGCTCCGAACCGGCCCTGAAACACCGTTGGTGTGAATGAGGTCAACTGTCAACTCCTCGTAGCACTGAGGGGGGGAGGGGGGCAGGAGCTCCAACAAGGCGTTTAGGACAGAGAGAAATTCAGTGAATACACATATAGATGCTGTATGAGAAACCAATGAGAGTTTGGAAAATTGCACAACGTAAATATATTTTGGTATACCTCAATGGAATTATGATCAGTAGAAATGGCCATGTCATGGGACCTTTAAGACACAGAGAAGCTTCAAAACATCACCATTGGGGTATTTCTATTTACTGATGTATTTTATGGCGTAGAACGAAATGTGAATATCTCTTAAGCTTGTGTTAACCACAGACCTCATTTCAGGCTTTTAAACACGTTAAAAAAATCTTTATCTTTGGGATGAGGTAACTGGAACTGCTAAAATGCTAACTCATTTCCAGGTTTTTGGAGTCATTCCTGCACCACTCTCTTTCACAGCATTCATAAACAAGAGGGAACAGGCAAATCATCACATTCTCTTCATTTCCATTATCTTAACAGGTTCCCTTTTCATGACTCTTTCAGACAATTTGTGGTGACACTTCCTCCTCCCTGTTATACAGATAGGATTTTAAGGATTCACCTTAACTGTTACAATGACACAGGCTGCATCTCACTTCGGTTAAATGGATTCCTTGCGTCCCTCACTTGCGTCGTTTCCCTGCGACTTGTCCCTCCCACCAGGGAAGCATGGGGAGACGCAAGGAAACCACAAGAAGCAGGGAAATGAGTTTTAAGAGCAATGGGACGTCCTTTCCTCCGGAGTGTCATGTGAAGCGACGTCCGTTTGTGATGACTCCGCACAGCTGATCGTCTGACAGCAGCCAGCTCTGTCCCCATTATTTTCGCTAACACCCCCGCCTCTGTTAGTATACATTTACTGACAAACATTTTTATAATCTGTTGTAGATCCAAAAACATTAAATAAAATAAGTCATTCTCAAAGAAGATAAACGCCATTCTTAAAATGTACAAAACACTATAAACTGAGGAGTGACTCCCGTAAGGTTCATGTATTTTCTTCACTCTGCTTGGAAATTGCTCTCATGTCAAAAGCAACAGATCAGTGCATGCGCTGCATCATCCAATCAGTGAGCGATAGACAGTAAGTGGGCGGGGCGAGTGCATGAGGATTTCACCGGAGGATGGTCTGGTAGTTCCTCGATTACCGATCCTCCGGCACCAATAAGGCCACTGGGACGCTACTCAAGATGGCGCAGACAAATCAACTTCCGGTGATACTGAGACCGAGGAGCGAGGAAATGAAAAATAACCGAAGTGAGACACAGCCCATGACTAGCTATGGAGCTAACACTGTAGCCACCAGGGCTAGCAGTAGTCAGTTACAGCTCTCTCAATAACGACATGGCCCAATCACACGGATGTTTAGGAACACCTGTCATTCAAACCTCGCTCACCTTAACGGATAGAATCTTATAATACACCGGCGTAGTAATCAACAGAGGGTTGAGATCGTGCTTTGACTATCCATAAATATGCAAACAGAAGATTTTTGGAATGTAGAGAGAAGTCAGTATTCGGATAGAATACTGGACATGCTTTATTTCCATCATGTGAAATTGGGCAAGTGTTGCATTTTCTAACTAAGTGTTCATTGTCAGTGCACTTTCTGTTACTCATAAGCATGACATTGATTTCATTTTGAAATCTAATTACACACTTTACATCCCTACAAAATAAAAGGCTGCATTTTCTTTTTAATTAGGGATGTCACTGTTAATTCTTGCCAACAATTTGAAAACTTTGAACAGGTTAAAATGGATTACTTGACAGCCCTAATATATTTCCACTCAGTATCTCAAAGAGAGGGAATTGGAACATACCGCTAGATGCGGCTGCTTGTGTTTTGAACGCAGAATGGGGGAAAGGGGTTAGGCTTGTGGCTGCTTGTTCAGGATCACTCCAATGAACACGATTCCAAAACAATCAAACTGTAAACACTGAAAAGCATGTATAAAGTAACTCACAGGCATGCGAATAAATGATCCTCTTCTATATGAGGTGTGTGTGTGTGCTCTGATTGTGCAGCATCCATTCTCCCTTTATAGACCTCGACTCGATGCAAGCTTCATGGTGTAGTGCTGAAGTTCTCCCTCTCCCTCCCTCCCTCAGCATCCGCCGCTGCAACCCCAGCTCCTCGCTCCCTCTCCCCCCTCTGTCCCCCCCTTGCTCAGGTTGATGGTGCCCCCTGACCCCACGGGGGGCTGGCTCAGTACCAGGGGCTTCTGAGACTTGAGCTTGTGTGCCACCGTCAGAAAAATAGCCTCCACATGGTCACTGTTTCCTCTGTCTCCCTGGCTGTTTGGGTTTTTCGCGGACGTCTCGAACAGGGGCATGGAGTGGGTGTCTGCAAACTGCTGCGCCACGTCTGTACCCACCTGGACCGAGTCTTGGAGGTCACACTTGTTGCCCACAAGAATCCTGGGTACCTCCGAGCCCAGAGCGTGCTGCTTACACTCCTCTATCCAGGCCGACAGGCTGCGGAAGCTGGTGCCGTTGGTGACATCGTAAACGAAGACCACGGCGTGCACGTTGCGGTAGTAGTGCTGCACCATGGACTTCCTGAAGCGCTCCTGACCCGCAGTGTCCCATAGCTGGATCTGCAGGGGGACAGTTTGGAAATTAATCAAATCCTAATAGCACCCGAATCACGAATGAAATGAATTCCAATAAGAACAGAGTGTGTGGCTGTAAGTGTGTTTAGGGCTGTAAGTGTGTGTAGGTCTGTAGGTGTGTGTAGGGTCAGTAACAGGTGGGACGCGGTCCGGATCCGGACGCCGACCTATATGGACCCGGACCTATAATCAATACATTAATAGGGGAATTTAATTTTGATGGGGCAATTCTATTTTAACCGCCGCCGACAGGGTGCGAAAGAGACGAGTGAGTGATACAGGGAGAGAAACACAGAAGAAGAGACGAGTGAGTGATACAGGGAGAGAAACACAGAAGAAGAGACGAGTGAGTGATACAGGGAGAGAAACACAGAAGAAGAGACGAGTGAGTGACACAGGGAGAGAAACACAGAAGAAGAGACGATAGCGCGGCAGACAGAAGCGGAGGGGAAAGTGTGTGAAGAGAATAATTAGCGATACAGGGAGAGAAGCGGAGAGGAGAGTGAACAGGCGTGTTAGCGGCAGACAGGGAGAGACAAATAATTACACATGGCGCTCTCCAAGAAGAGGAAAGTGGACAGTGAGAACAGAGCTTTAACCCTGAGTGGACTCATGTTCATCCTGGAGCACAGAACCAGTGTGTCTCATTTGTTCAGAGACCGTGGCGCTCATTAAAAGGGNGCCCGATTAATTCCCCCATACCGCCTTGTAATGCAAGGAAATGTCGAGTTCACAAAGCGCAATGAGTGTGTGTGTACTGTGCACTGCTCCAGCTCTGCTGATGTGTGCTAACTGCGTTCGTGTGTTGCTGTGTGGTCCAACAACACATCGTTTGTTTTCAAATTACCGATGAACAGTAATTTAACACACACTGGCCAACTCATATGTAAGTGTGGGTGTTCCCAAAGAGGAAGTAAAATGTAATCTTAGATCTCGATGAGTTGCTAAATGCTGTCGGGAGTGCACGGAACGAACGCCCCGTATGACGTATCTATTTCATGGCAAACAAGCCCAGGGGTTCTCCCTGAGCATTTAGTTATATTCAATATGTATACAGGGTCCTAATTGTTGTTTAATTGTATCCTGGGTTTAAACGTTGTTTAATATGTTTTGGATGCACATTGGTATTTCTTCAGGCTGTTATCAATTAGCCTCTGTTGCAAGCTGCTGGTGAGTACATATTCAAATCAGTTAAAATTGACAACCGGTCCGCACATTGTTTTTAATGTATCTGCCAGTCCTTGGCACAATAAAGGTTGGGAACCCCTGATGTAAAGAGCAGAAAAGCAGATGTTAAGCGTTCAGGGTTTGAAAGCGATTCGCTGTGTTTGCAACATCTAAACCAGGGGTCGGCAACAGGCGGACCGCGGTCCGGATCCGGACGCCGACCTATACGGACCCGGATCTATAATCAATACATTAATAGGGGATTTCAATTTTGACGGGGCGATTCTATTTGAACCGCCGCCGACAGGGGGCGAAAGAGACGAGTGAGCGATATATGGAGAGAAACACAGAAGAAGAGAGGAGAGCGCGGCGGAGAGGAAAATGAGTGAGAGAATAATTAGAAGCGGAGAGGAGAGTGAACAGGCGTGTTTGTGGCAGACAGGGAGAGACAAATAATTACACATGGCGCTCTCCAAGAAGAGGAAAGTGGACAGTGAGAACAGAGCTTTTAACCCTGAGTGGACTCATGTTCATCCTGGAGCACAGAACCAGTGTGTCTCATTTGTTCAGAGACCGTGGCGCTCATTAAAAGGGCCAAAACGCCACTATGAGACAAGACACAAAGTGTTTGACCAAACATTCCCTCTCAAGTCAGAACTGAGGTCACAACAAATAAGCAGTCTCAGAGCCCAATATGATCAGTCCAGCAGGATCAAAATTAAACTAAATATTGTTCCAGGGCAGGCTAACCGAGGCTAACCAATGAGCACCTGCATGTGTGTATGAGAATGGCCCTGACACCATTTCAGCCCAGATTCAAAGTCCTGGCAGGACAAGCTCAAGCTCAATTCTCGGAGGGACTGCAATATAAGAGGGAAAGAAAGAGNNNNTGTGATTTTTGACTAAAAGGGCAAAAGGCTAGACCTACTTTGGTTGGACTATTACCTCATTCACACCAACGCAACTCCGGTTCAAGCTCCGTGCTCGAGTTTTTCAGGTTCAGAACCGGTTCTTCGGTTTAGCTCCGGCTCTTTTCACACCGCCCAGAGTCCGACTGATGCTGCGTCATCGTTTGTGTCATGACGTAACCATTTGCGTGCCTGCTTCATAAAGCCAAACCGCATTGAAACCCCTCACAGCTGACACCGACAACAACAACAATGGCCGATTGTGCTCCAGCTTCCTCTGTACCTCTTCGGAAGACCAGATTCCCAGTAGGTAGCTGGTCTCTTCAGTGGACCACTGCTGCTTGTTAAGTTTCTCCATCGTTGTGATAAAACGCAGGCTATTTGTTGTTGTTCAGGAGTTGATCCCGCCCCTGCCCCGCCTC